TAAAAATTATTTTCAATAAAATTCATTATGAATAGATTACGAATATTTATACAAATTTGTAATTCTCTAAGTAAAGAATAGGTCGAAAGAATAAGAAAATTTCAAATGTTTAAAGACTCTTTTTATGAATATATTACATGTGTCATGTAAAATATTTTGACATTTCATTAATATTAATATTTATTGTAATACTATATTAGTAATGTTTGAAGCAAATCTAAAAATATATAGAAGTAACTAAGTAACTAAATAACTTAATATCAGTGAAAAGTATACAAAAAATATAAAAGAAAAGTAATTAATTGAGAAACCATGTGACTATTTTCGTTACTTTTTAACGTCTTCTTGACAACGATAGATGTGACAGAGTGTGTGCGAATTAAAACTGGGCGAAGCATTGGAACCCGATAAAAAAAAACCGATTAATTAGTTGCCGATCGGTACTGATCAACCTTCGGATATGTTCCGCGAGATTTCACGGAGTTAATTAATTTCGTCCGTATAATTAAACTTCCGTCTCGCTGCACACGCACTTACTTCAGTTCGAATAAATAAGGAGACACTTGAGTCCAAAAGCAATTTAATATTCGCCATCGTCCGTATGAACAAACGCTTTGCAAAACGAGCATTAATTATCGTGTGCGAATTAGAATGAAATTACTTTACACGTCAAATATCATTCATGAAATATTGTGTATCTACAAAGCATTTATTCATTCGTAAAAACTTTTTTATGCTATCGACGTTTCTTTTAATAATTTTTAATGTTATTTTAAAAGTCTTTGTCATTATATGAATTAGGTGAATTATATTTTTCAATAAAGTACGGAGTAAGACTGTAGAGTAATAATTTAAAATTTTGACTCACGACTTGACTACGTAAATAAAAGTTTATGTTTTTACAAACATAATGGAATTTCATAAACATCGCAACGAGCTTCTACAAACATATAAATATTTATAGTTGTATTTTTATAATATAAGGAAAATAATATTCAAATATTAATCCCGAGATCATTAAAATTTATAAGAATAATAAAAATTACTAGATAAAAATAAAATTGGAGGAATTAAGAAGGAAGAGTGATAAATAGTAACGAGATTAAGAAATTTTTGAAATACCAAATAATTTCCTTTTCTTTTTAATTATACTCTTTTAGAAATATGAAATCAAACTCTGATATTGTCAATTTACCAATAATTATATTCAGTTTTGTGCTAGACACATTTCTTTCAATATAAAAATGATCATAAATATGGCACACGAAATTTATATATATTCATGTATATTTTTTTTTTTATACAAGTTTAAACTTATATTATAAATTCTCATAAATTCAAACTCATAAATGAACTTTGTGAACTTAATAAAAAAAATATGTGTGAATTTGCATTTCGTATTTATATTTATAAGTTTAAGTAAAATTTAAAATTATCTTAGCGTACAATAATTAGCCTTTGCCTTGATATATGGATCAAACACACGACGAGAGCAGAAATTTCCACCACTCGTTCTCTGTCACTGTCCGAAGAATAACGAGGAAGAAGTTTATCCACATATCCCTGCAGGGATAGATGAAAAATCACGATATTTTCTGCGGGGATATCGTGCCAGGGGATAAATTTTCAGGTTCGAAGCTCGGCAGAATGAACAGAAAACGGGGGAAAAAGCAAAGAGGATACTGAGACGCGCTTCGCAGGATTTGACGGAATTAATTAACCCCGTGGTATAATTAAAGTCCCGTTTCGTCGGCGGGCAACGTTGCTACACCATGAAAGTTAAACTGACGAAGATCAAATCGTGAATCCTAGTTACAAACTGTGCATGATACCCGTGATGCATTTGTACAGCGAGAGAGAAACAAACGGGAGGGAGAGAGAGAGAGAGAGAGAGAGAGAGAGAGGGCAGGCGAGAGAAAGTGAGAGAAGGAAGGAGGGAAACAGACAGATAAAGAGAACGGACGGAAGAGAGGAGGACAGAAAATGGAAACACTGGAGGAGAGTGGAGAGGTTAAGGGTGAAGGGGATTTAATAGCTAGAGAGAGAAAAGATCTTTAATTAAATTCTACCATTCTACCGTTTTCAAACTGCTATGCGTTTTCCATCGAAACGTCGATTGAAAATCGAAGATTCGATGAAAGCGTTGCGCTGTAAGAAAAAAAGCGATTTATCTATCCGTTAGCTGTAAGTGGCTGTAAGTAATTCAAAATGCATCTTGCGATTAATCTCTTGGGGATTGAGGGATTTTCGCGAACACAGCGAACAATAGCCTTTAAGATTGCAGAGTCTTTCGTATATTCAAATTATTGTTATTTGTGAGAACAATTAATATATATAGAAACAAATATATAGAAATTAACACACACACACACACACACACACACACACACATATATATTTAAATATGTTAAATTAATACTGATGCTATATGTAATTTGGTTATCCATGTATATTTGGTTACTCGTTTATATATAGTTATCTATATGTTATAATATTGTTTAATATTGTCGAGCAACGAATTTTATTATGTATAGTTAAACTTTATTTTGCACATTTCACATGCTAATTACTTCACATGAAAGTAATAATTTTTATTTAGAATTTTAGAATTTTTGAGTCTCTTATATACATACTTAGGTATATTAAATGTGCGGATATGTACAAATGTAACTTGTTTTTCACCTGCATAGAAATAATGAAAACTCGATCTTTAAGCTTCGTATTTATTGCTTAAGATTGAAATTTATGGCTCTGTAAATTACGTACTATTGTCGTGATAAGTCATGTCATTTAGTTGAATATAAATGTGAAAAATTGCTGTTTCAGTTACATCCGTGGCTATTAGAGACTCCAGTAAATTTACCGTGTCGGAAACTTCCTACATAGATCGCACATGAACATCGAATATCACTGTTCTAAACCAGATAAACAATCTAGTATTGGAAACATCATGTAACTTCGATGAAAGTTACTTTAATAAATATGTGCATATTTATTGACATTGTCTGTACGTTTCACTGTTCGATACTCGGTAAAGTCTTTTAAAACAAGGCACTGTGGTTTTTCCTCCTCCCATGTTGATTTCAATTCGCCATAAAGAAATAGATTTTATGAATCTGACAACGTAGATTCTATATGATATAAGATTTTAATCATTTTATATAAGTAATTAATACTTTTATATAAGTTCTGTATTTAAATAAGTATTTAAATAATCTGTATTTAAATTTTAATCATTTTATATAAATAATTAATACTTTTATGTAAGTTCTGTATTTAAATAAGTGTTACAGAAATAAGGATGTTATTATCGTATTGCAAATTTATATTTTTATAAATACGAACGAAAATAAAAAACATAGTAAGAGGTACTAAATTTCGTAATCAAAATAATAATTATAATCAATAAGTCAAAATATAAAATATTTTATATTCTTGCGTATATTATAAATACGCATTCTACAAACATTTCTACATTTTTAAATTTCTTACACGTGCTTAAAGATCCACATTCTAATCATTTTTAATTTATTAATGTGTATTTTATTTAAAAGATATAATGGAGAGCAACAATTGTATTGATCAGAAAATAATAATTATATTGAAAAGCACAAAATTATATCTGTTCTTTTTTTATTATAAAAGAACTAAGCTTTCATAGTTTAATTAGAAGACTAAAAAAATGAATTTCAAACAATAGATAATGATATTGACGATTATTTGTAATAAAACACATCGGACAATATAGTGATTTCTAATAATATTGTTAATTTTCGAATTAAATGACAGATTTAATTAAAATAAAAAAATTTAGATTTCCATTTAATTTCAATGTTTTATATGATAAATATATGATAAATATGATATTTAAATTTATAATTTATAATTTTGCAATACATAAAATGAGATTATTTAATTTTAATTTCAATTTTAGAAATTTTACTTTGAAATATATTATTTGCAATGCATACACAACAATAAATATCATAAGAAAAGTAATAATAATATATAACTCTATGTACCTATATTATGGTACATAAATATTTGGAGAATTCGAAATTACTGCAAATATATAAAATATACAATTCAAATAAATCTTTTTAATTTAATACTAACAAGCACAGTCAATAGAATAGCTAATATACATAATATCAGTTAGTATACGTAAAGAAAGCAATTGCTGAAGATAGTGGAACATTAATTTTAATACCTTAATTAAATGAATTTAAGTATATCAATATTGAGATACTTAAATATTGTAATATATGTTTTTAAATTTAAAGTTTAAATTTTATAAAGTGTCAGCTATTTATTAAAAACGAATATGGAATGATATAGATATATTTTTTGTAGATAGCCAAATATTTAATCAGTTACCTAAAAGATGTAGAAAACAAAAAAAAAAAAAAACAAAAATATTGATCACAGCTATGGAAATGAAACAAAAACATAACCTTCAAAATATAATCTTTTAGATTAGTTTATGCATGATAGTATATATATTCTATGCTAGCGAATACGAATCATATGTATTCTTTTCAATCATTTCAAAAATAGCAGCAGAATTAATTGCACTAGATGTCTAGTTATTTATGCATGATCATTTATGTATTCTGTGACAGTAACAATATGTATCATACGTACCCTCTTCAATCGTTTCAAAAGTCACAATAGATCTGGTTTCACCCAAGCACCCTTTCCCTAGGTGAACCCTCCGTCGTATATCAAAAACATCATTAAAAATCAGACAATTGCACGTTCCCCTATTCCGATATTTTGACAATTCCGATAGTGTATCACGGCTGGCTGGCCATCCGAAGGTGTGATTTACACTTACCGCGATTTGCGTAGGGCGTACGCTCGTCGCGTCGCATTTTACCCAACGATTTCGTCGCCCGTTTGCGTATCCGGCGTCGCACCCCGAAGTGGGCGCAGGCGCGAGTCTCGCGGCGCCTTCAATTTACAGAGCTACGTCTGTCAGTTGCGCTCCGACGCCGACGACGCTGAGACTGTTTCTTCTTCGTTCCGACCCTTCTCGTACTTCGTCGATCACGTAGCCATGTGACCGTCGCTCTCTTCGACATTCACTCGACCATGGATGATCCATAAGAATCGATCATAACCTCTCTCCAACAGCTTGCATCGAACTAACGGAAAATGCAACTTTGAGGTTAACGCCAGTCGTTCGTAGAAACGTTCGTAGAAACTTTTCTAGAGTTCAGATTTGTCACGTGAACGATGTAACGTCGAACGATGATCTCGCGTGTAGAGAATACAGGAGTGATGTTCGCGTTCACGGGGAAGATTGACAGGACGAGGTTGCTGTCACGTGTGTAGGGTGGAGAAACGTAAAAGTGGTAGGATTTCGCGCGCGTGATTACATCGATGCGTGATGTTATTATGTGAGACAATGCGGTGGGGTGATGGATCGTGTGATCTGTTGCGATGCAAGTTTTTTGTACTTTTGGTCCTCGTCGGCTGCAGCGATGGATACTTGAACATTTTTATCAGCCAGTCCCAGGTTATGAAACTGTTGGGTAAGTGGTTGGCTTATTTTTAAATTACGCGGTTCGGTTTGGAAAGTCTTTGAGGTTCTTTGAAGTTCAGCGTTTGCTATTGGATTTTGACTTTAATATTAGATTTAGGTTCAGATGCTTTTTAAATCTGTTTTTTTTTGCTTTGATAAACATTTTTATTTATCGTTATGTATCTGATGTATTTGGTATATAGATTTTAGGATTGAGAATTTCCTTTCTCATATATGATTTCATGTAGTAGTATATTTGTAGTTCCGCTCAAAAGAAATAATGATTTCTTCAAATAAATAAATATTCTGTTCATAATATTACTTTTTTATAATTAGAACTTTAATTAACTATATTTAAAAATTAGAATTACTTCTCGGGAATAAGATATTTAATGAACTATTATATAAATTATTAACTAACTCAGATATTTTACATGTTATGATCTAACCTCCATAAATGTTTTTACTGTTGTCACAGAGTCACGCTTTTGAAAAAACGTGACAATATTTATATAGCATTTTCAAATCTTTTAAATTGAAATTAGAATAAAATTATTGCAAGTATATTTGTAAATGCTTGTTTGAGAAAACCCTATACTATTCAAATACAAACATAAACGATCCCAATTTCCGAGCGAATATTTTTGGAACTCTCAATCGATTTATAATACTAAATTCCATGAAATTTCAAAGAGATTTTTCATTACTTTGTCTTTCACTTAGATTTTAGATTTTATAATTTTATGTTATTTAAAGAAATTGATATTATTGATAATATTTGTAATATTACATAAATTGTTGTTATGTTGTCTTTAATGAATTAATATATTCGAAATGTGAGGAAAAAGACTGCGGATTTCTATGCAAATTCTTAATTTCTATGCAGTATTTTTAAAAATGTAATTAACAGAAATAAAATCTTGTTGGAGTATTGTTCTACGCAAAAAGCACTGCACTTTAGATATTTTATATATATTTTCAATATATGTGCATTCTTTGCATATTAAAATTTTTTATAAAGATCCGCAGTTTAATTATAATTCTGTGAATTGATGAAGCAGTAAAACAATTTGTTTTTTAAAATTTATATACCATTTTGTGAACAATAAAGTCAAATACGTTGAAATTTATTTCTTTTTTGTGAAACTAAAGAAAAATTAAAAATAAATGTGTTTAATTGAGTTATTCCGTAATTATTCTTCCGTATTTATTCCGATTCTATTCATTAAATAACAAAAAAGAAATTTATATGCGGAGAAGGTATAAGTAATATAGAATACAGGCTATGAGTATTTAAACAAAATGTAGAAGAGAAATAGTCAACGAAATTACTGTTAAAATGTAGGAAAAAATAATAGAATTGTATTATTGTCTAGTATGTCCTTTAAAGGTTAATGGCAAGTGACATAAACAGCTGAAAATAGTTGTAAAAAGAGGCTCTTAACGTTCAACGACTTTTCTGCACTTTTTACACAGAATTGCATACAATTGACATTTGTCGCCGATTCAATTTGATCTTTCATCCTCTGAAATGAATTCTTTCATACATTCTAGTAATTAAATAAAATATTTATATTAAAAATGAGGTTTCAATAATTTTCATCTAATTGTTAATAAGTAAAAATAATAATATTAATTATGGCTAATAAATATTGGTTAAAAATTAATAACCATTAAATATGGTTATTGATTGTAGAATTGAATAAAAATTTTTTAACAAATCTCAATTGCCTTCAAACAAATTTGTAATAATAATTTTAAAGCTTGTACTTATTCCTAGAGTGTGGATTTTTATGCAACTTGAACATGGGAATAAAATAAGAAACAAAAATAATATACGAGAAATATGTTAAATATCTAAAATACAATATCTGTTATCACATTTAATACATGAAACAACCCTCTGCGTAGATTCTATTTTTTTAAATTAAATATATGAATTTGCACAAAAATGTGACACTATAGTTGTTATATTAATTTCGTCAGAATTTTTAATTATTTTACTGTTGCGTCAACTTGAAAAACATGAAAACGAAATGTATTGGAATTTCTCACCCCATGAGCAGAAGATAAAAGGTCCCCTTAAAAAGTTATTTCCGCGAACTGTCCGCTCCTTTAATTAGAACTTTCAATTAAGACGAAAGTGTAACAGTGTCTCGCCTTGTTCTGGACGAATTTAAAAATACAAGGGAACTCGATGGTCGTTAACAGATCTCATTACAATAGTAATGGGCCAAATGTTTTGTCATTATTAAGAACGAAAGAAAATGTCTGAAAGAGATACGTGGCAAATTGTAATTGCTCACGGAAGTATTCACTTTTAAGAACTTTTTTTAAGAACTTTTCATAAAAATATTATGCACGCAGACATTTCAGGATTATTTAAATAGTTATTATGTCAAAAATTTCAATATTTAATGAGACTGTTTTTAACTGTTTATTAATGTAATCTTATTAATGTATATTAATTTTTTTTTTGGACATAGAAGAAATACAGATAATACAGAAATACAAATAATAATACTAATTATACAATACAAACTGTATTACTAATTATACTCTATAGTGTATATACTGTGTTGTATAATTATATCGTATTTATTGATTATAATTAATAATTTAATTTACAATTTATATTTATATTATTATACAAATATAGTATTATCCTAAGATTTCTGAGCATATGTACATTCTCAGACGTGGTTTCAAATTTTATCGATATAATCGTATCTCGTATCATTAATAATTAAAGTGTCAATAAAATTCCAAAATTATGTTTTATATAACATAATAATATACATACAAGATTTTCTATAATAAGCGTTCGGATACTTTCGCGAACAACTATGAATGCGAGCATTTAATCGACGTAGTGGCTGCTGTATGTTGTCAAAAGAACCGCGAACTATCAATTAACGACTGCCATCGATGCTGCTTCATCGAAACCTACAGAGACAAAATGTCGGGAAATTATACTAGCAACGAATGCATCGTGAACTTTTAATTAGAAACATTGCACGACCGACTAGCAACGAGCCACGGCCGTGTGTAATTATCGAATTAACAATAACCTTGATGAACGATGTTGAATTTAACGGTGCGCAGTTGCGTTAATCACATCGAATGCCGCTGGTTCGGCGTTCTTAATGGAATATCAAACAGCGTCGGGGAGAAAAAAAGAAAAAAAAAAAAATGTCACGGGCTCGTTTATCAGAGGGGGTGTGATTCAAATTACGTTGCAATTAAGAGCGAAATAATTCTACGCGGAAGAATAAATTGAAATCACTGGGATTGGTTTTACTTCGCGAAGTTTCGTTGGATGGGCGTGTAATTATTTCTGAGAATTAGTTTTTAGCGAAAATTGTAATACATTACGGTGTGAAACACGACGCGGTGTGTAAATAGTATTTTTTAGTCTTTTTTTACTCTGCGAATCTTAAGTCGTGAATATTCATTTCTGACGCGAAACAGAGTTTCATTCGCTTAAAAAGAATAACTTTTGAAAATTGTTACAGTGTAAAATAATTACGATATCAAGAATTCGACTTTTAGTATTAGAATTATCTTAATCGAAACGATCAGCTCGTAATTTTTTCGTAGAAATTTTATAAATTTACAGTTTAATGCACTTTTACAGATTTGAGTGATTTTTCGTAAAATACAAATTTCTTTATTGGTATGGTAAACATTTTTCTTCTCGTATCTTAGTTATCGCTAGTGTTGGAATATCACAATGCGACACGCTTGCAGTGAAAGTGCTAAATGATTGAAGATAGACATAAATATTAGTGTCAGTTTGTAGATGTTAATAATGTTAAATATTAAAGTACTACGTATACAATTTAAATGTTTATAAGTTAGTTTAGTTACGAGTTTATTGATATTAATTCTTATAGACATTTTTTATTATCATATAAGAAGCCACAGAACCATCTTAGTTATCTAATACACAGTAACAAAATCCTATAATAATTTTCGAAACATTGAATAAATAAGAACAAATTATTTTAAACTCTCAATTTTAAAATCACTCGAGTTTCACAAGATACTTAAAATTCTGAGCTCAAACAGATTGAAGCACAATTTTGTCATATTTTTATATTTCAGTTTTTATATTTTTTACTTTGAACATTATTGAACACTTGAAAATTGCACAGAGAAGTTGTAAATTAATTTTTATTATTTAATATGCAACTATAGTCATAGAAATAATCGTACCATCGTTACGTTTCTCCTTAATTATTGATTAATTTCCAAGTTTTTATATCAATATTAATAATATTAATAATTCTTTTTATAAAATTCACGAGAAATAAGTTGTAAATTTTATATTAGGTGCATTTCTGTTGTAGGTACATTTTGTACAATTACAATTAACATTACTAATATTATGAATACACGTTTCAAGCACTTGTACAATTTGAACACACAATGAAATCACATCAACTGCGAAAGAGAAAATAAATCGATTCAGATCGACTTTTTCATCTGGATTAAAAATGTTCATTTTGGAGCAAATTATATTTCTACACGCATAATTCTACCAGCTATAGATTACAACTTCATTCTCATCGTCAATTTATAACCAACAAATGGATAACAAACAATTTGTCCATTTATAATCAAGTAGTAACACGACATTCCCTTTTTTACAAGCAACTTCTCACGAATTTCACATTTTTACTCACAACACGTGACGTACCTTCAAATCGCGATTTAAATTAGCGAATTTATCGTTTCCTCATTTTCCCGCCCACGAGTTTGATTTACGGCAGCGGCCGTAGAAACATACATTACCGCCATTTCTACTTCAATTTAAGACCGCGCCAAACCGCAGGTTTCCCACGCGTTCCTCGAAATGTAGCTAAATCACACGACGACTCGTCGAGCTGCGTGAGAAGCACACGGGTAGATTTTGTGGGTTTCGGTAGGTGCTGTTCGTTTTTGATGGTCAACAGATACGGCACGCACATACGACCTCTGTGAACCGCGTTCGCCTACGTACTTAGT